AGAAGACAACATAAGACTCGATCTTTTAACACAGTCAGCAACAATAAAGCAATGAGTAGCACTGGTATCAATAATAGTAATTAAAGGAGTACTATTAATGAAACATGTACCTCTGATGAGTCTGTCCTCATTAGCTGTCTGAGTCCCAGCCAAAGTGAAAATTTTTCCACTGGTTTGCACCTTCTTTGGTTTCTGACACTGACTACCAATGTGTCCTTCTTCACCACAGTTGAAACAAATCATCTCTTTATACTTGCACTCAGATATAGCATGCCCAGTCTTACCACAACAGAAACACCTCTTCACCTCAATAGTACACATATTACTCTTATGACCTGGTTTTCCACATTTGAAACAAACCACACCAGCAGGAGCATCTCCCCCACTAGTTCTCTGACCCTGAGAAACTTTCTATTTACCCTTACCAGCCGGGGCATCGTAAGGCTTACCACGGTTATAATGGTGCTTACCTCTCTTCTCATTGATAATCTTATACTGAGTATTATTATCCTCTTCATAGACCATGCAACTATCAATCAAATAAGCAAAGACACGAATCTTCTGGTATCCAACTGCCTTCTTGATCTCTGGGTGCAACCCGTTCTCAAACTTGATGCACTTTGAAAACTCGGCATTTGCCTCACTGTAGTGCGGGTAAAACTTAGCCAACTCAACAAACTTTGTAGCATATTCAGTAACCGACATACTCCTCTGCTTCAGCTCCAGAAACTCAATTTCCTTCTTACCACGAATCTCTTCAGAGAAATACCTCCTCGTAAATTCCCTACGAAACACAGCCCAAGTGATATTTTCACCCGCAACCTCCAAATTCTGACAAGTCTCTAGCCACCAGTCATCACCCTCGACTGCTAGCATATTGGTACCATATCAAACCTTCTTCGTTGGAGTGCAGTCCATCACACGGAAGATTCTCTCAATCTCTTTCAAATAATCCAACACTCCGTCAGGATCTTACTTACCCTTGAAGGTAGGTAGATTCTCCCTCTGGAAGGTCACCAAGCTATGAGATCCAGCATTCCTGCCAGCATTCGGCTGATTCTCCATAGCATGTGCCATTGCTTCCAAAGCAACAGCAAGTGCAACATCATTCCTTCTAGCCATCTCAACTTATCACTACAACATAAACAACAGTTAGAACTCAAGTTAACAATACTCAATTGTTAGAAAAAATTATGACTCGACAACTTGGTCGGACGGACCCGACCTGCTCTGATACCACTAATGTAACACCCCATTTCTACCCAACGAATTATATAAAATTAGAGTTACAAAATTTCGACATACAAATGGAATATTACACTTTCAACTTGGAAACAACGACATTCAATCACATATAGTTCAAATACATAACACATAAAATTCGGATGAACCAATAACAACCTGTTTAGTCCTTAAAAATAAAACAACTTTTATAATCAAGCAGCAGAATCACAATTTTTTAACTCAAATGACATAACATCTTTGTCACACTAAAAACAACTTCAAATCAACAAGTTCTTGATGAAAACAACTTAAAATTTAGCAACACAAGTAAAATCAACGATAAAGCAATAAGCGTTCATCCCCCTGAGTGTTACATATCAGAGCGACGACATCGACTCGAACCACTGAAGGTAAACAACCTTCACTCTGGATTCCTAACTGCACGTTACCAACATGGGGTAACATTCAAACAGGAGGGGTGAGATATCGGACAATATAATAGGATGCATGATAAATAATATATTAGAATCAGGTCATACAAAATAACCACTTCGCAGCTCTTTAACAATATTTAACATAATTAATTCATTCACACAACAACTCAGAATGCAACATGAAATGCGACTTGTTTTTATGCACATGCATGTGGTACCAGCAGAGCAAAACTCCAAACTTAATAATCTTCCAATTAATAGAGGAATCAACAAGGCATAAGCCTTCAACTTTATATTTGTCAATCCATGCCAACTTACCAAGCACGAGCTCCCAACTTGATATATTATGTATGCGACAACAACATGAATGTAGTAATGACAACAACAACAATTCAACAACAACTCAACACAATTCAACATTGGCCATAAGCCTATAACTTAATATCTGCCAATAATTAGAGGCATCCCAACAAAATTCATCATCACCTGTAAATTATCAAATTACAACAAAATATACAGTTTACTGCTAGTCAATTATTAATTACATTATTCCTCTTACTACTAACTTATATTTGCTAGAATTCATTAATCGTATAGGGAAAAAATATCTTAAGATTTCTAATTATTATGCTGAGATTATTGAACTAAATTAAATAACTAATTGCCCTGCACATAAATGAGTTAATAACGACGTATGCCCCTCGACACAGTGGCCATGCCGCTCAGCACCTTCCCTTCATGCCTCTGTATCGACCGACACACCCTATACAACTCGGCATATCGCGCAACCTTGTTCCGCTCGACACAACTACCTGTTCTCCTCGGTGCACCTTGCCGCCTTGTGTCGCTCGACACCTAGCACCTGTGCTCCTCAGCACACCTTGCATCCTTATTCTGCTCGACACAAATACCTATGCTCCTTGGCACGGTGCATCTTCAACATTTGTGCACCGATTTCGTCCATTCCATGACGAAAGTTAACCCAGCCTTACAGTATTCTCTTAGACCATTAATTTATGACCAACCGCACAAAATAACTTAGAAACGGGACAATTATATCTCCTATTAACAGATTCATCAATTGTACAAGACAGACATGCAGAAAATTCCTAAACGATTACAACGTGAAAACGCAAAACTTTCAAGAATAGGCCCAGAAAATCAACGCACAACAATTATACCCACAACCAAACCCCTACATAATATTCATCATAAGCCCCATTATAAGGTCAGAACCCCACTCTTACCTTGGATTGAAGATCGCTAGACAACTCTCCGACCGGAACCTTGCTTTCCAACAACTTCTCAATTAGGCCTATTCTTTATTTAAATAGAACCCCACAATATTATTCTTAATGGCCTTAACAATGCACCCCTTATATTTCTACTTCCAACCATTAAAATAGACCAAACATAATTATTCTATTATTCTACTAATTCTAATATTATTACTATTATTAATCAACTAATTAATTAACTAGTAATAATATAGCAACTTATGCCAACAATTCACAACATCTCTCAACCTCAATGAATAATTCGAAAATAATTAATTAAATTAACGGGCGTTATACATGGCACCACCCAACGAGCTTAAAAATATCTCCTCCCTGTGGCCCTTTGTAGCGGTAAAAATGTTGAGACTAAGCCATTAGATTGACTTAACTCACATAGTGAAAGTCGCCACCACACTTTATTGTTCCAGAGGAATCGGAAAAGAGAGAATAAAACTCAAAGTAAAATAGAGATCAAGATACAGGGGTTGGTTATGCAAAGGGAAAGATATTAGCACCATAAACATCTACGGTACTCCGCAGGAACCTCTTTGAGAATATGTATATTTGGCTAGAATGAGTTGTTTTACTAAAATGCATGAATGGATTAATTGGGAAAGAAAAAGTTTTTATTATTGCGTTCGCCCGAGTCTTTCAACCCAGTGCCTACAAATCCTAGAAAGAATTAGAACACTCATAGTTCATTCTGAATAAGGGTTTATTTGTTGACTATTTTTAAATGAAAGACATGTTGTCGTATTCGAGTGGAAAACATACTTACTATCCACAATTATAATAAAGGAGCATTTGCATCATCTTAAAGTGGAGGATCTTGGATTAAAATCAATAAGACATCACTCAACACCTAAGTGGAAAATGCCAATCACTTCACTACATATTGTAGAAGTATAGTAGCTTGCATCACTACAAGAATCAACAAGAGTCTAATCTCTAAGAAAATATTTTAAAGAGAAAATTGCACAAAGGACACAAAAATATTTAAATAATTTAAAGTATTTTGTTGGGAGAATATCTCAAATGGTCCTCCAATGCAGGGGATATTTGAGTCTTTCTTCCCTTAAATTTTGAAAAGAGTTGGAGATATGTATTAATACTAAAGACTATGAAATGAGACAAGTATTTTGTACGTACGAGCCAGGCTTCTCGCGTACAAAATACTCTCCTAATTTACTTAAGGCTCATGATGTATTTATACGTATCAATTTATTTATTAAGTATTTTGAGTTTTTGATTAAGAAAATATATTTATCTTAATAAAAGAAAAAGATGCAATGCAAAAGAAACAAAAGGGAAATTCTAAAACCCTAATGTTTTTCAAGCAAGTGGACCTAAGGTTGAGTTTAACGGAAAGCTATCATAATGTTATCATGCTTGTATCAAGATCCTAAGGTCTAATCAATATAAAACGACCAAAAGAAAATTAATCGCTTGATGGAATTCTAAAGGAACATGCCATTTCAACACAACATAATTCTCAATACTCAAGCATCTTATTTGATCAATATTACACAAAGAAAATACATAAACATGATGTTAAACTTGATTTAAAAGTAAAATTAAGAACATGAAGAAATAATAAGAATAAAATCTAACTAAATTCTAAAATACTTCTAAAAAGCCTAAATCATTTTTATATATCTTTTTTATTACTTTTTTTTTATTATTTAATATCTAAAATCAATAAAAGAAATTAAAACTAAAACAAATAAAAATGGAAGAGAAATATTAAAAGAATGAGAAAATAGAGGGCGGTGTGAAGTCAGAATCCCGGGTGTAAAACAAAATTAGGCACAGACCCAAATCTGGATCCAGGATAGTTATTTTTTGTCCAAGTTGCAAACTCCAAAAAAACTAGTATCGGGCCAAGGGGAGTATGGAGCGGCGGCCCAAGGCTTCAGTCCAACCAATAACACAGCCTGATCCAGTTTCTATTTACCACTCTCATTATTTATTTCAATTAAAGATTTGTTTTATTTGAATTAGTTTTTATCAATGAATTAAAATAAACTAAAACAAAATGAGGACCTAAACGCACGCGTTTTGACAGATGGAGTTAGGTTTCACTACAAAATTGTTTGTGACCTTTCATCTCTCACGAATAGAGGCTCTCCTTCCTCCGCGAACGGCGCCACTGCAACTCCTTCATTCATTTTCCGACGAATACTCCGCCATGCCTTATCGTACGTCGCAGTATTCAGCATCAACATTGTGTCTCACTGATTCACTTCTCATATCAGACTCTACTTCGCTTCACATTTTCAGAACCACCGTCTTCGGATTCACCTTCTCCGTCTGTTTTCGATCTTCTCCTTCGTCGACTCAACTTTTCGCCGCCTTTTCACAGCACCATGGCTTATCTTCTCAATTTAGCTTTCGTTCGGTTTCGCCGCAGCTCAGTCGCAACTTTGTCTAACTCGAGCTTCATCGTCTCAAGATTTCGTTCGTTCTCATCTTTCAGTCGCGGTTCCTAACAATTTCAATGCAAGTAGATTTACAGAGTTCCAAACACAAAGCAGATATCAAGAGAAGTGAGAGTTTGAGGCTTGCCTACCAGAATTTGTCCGGTGCGCTTTCAACGGCGTCGACGTCACAAGAAATCCAGAGAATCCTCGTTTGCCAGGTACGAAGCTTACGTTCTTTTTAGTGTTTACACTTCCGCTTCCGATCTTCTTCTTCTCGTTTCGGCTTCGTAGCGTTTTTGTTGCGTTTCTTTGATGCATTGTTGCTGATGTTGATGCAGTGAGGAACACGCTTTGTTGAAGACTAAGGAATCATTGATGAATATGTGAGATGAAGCAAATTGTGGTTGCTCTTGATGCGATGCAGAGATCGGTAATGATGTGGAGATTGTTGCGTTGAAGTTATTGCAAAGATGCAGATGATGAAGATTTGCAGAAGAGTGAAGGTTGTCGAGAAGGAGATGAAGGTTGAAGAGAGAGTTGAAGAGAGATTGTAGAGGAAGTTTTCAGAGGGGAAGAAGTTGGGTAATTCTCTGAGTTTTGCAGAAAATGATAGTGTATTTTGGATCTGTGAAGAGAAACTTGTTTATGTAGAGCTGAAAGTTTGTTACAGGTAAAATCATCTGAGCCCTTGATTCTTTGAAAGTTAGTTATCATATGAATGGGTGAGATGGATTCTGATATCATCTTGTAATGAAAGCTTGGTTATTCCATTTGAAAATTTGTTACAGCCTTTCCTCTTGCGTTTTAATTTTGATGAGCTGTTTTTGTTCTTTTTCTCATGGTTGCATTTTCCTGAGTTTAACCACTTCCCTCTCTTTTATGTTTTGATTTTATTCTCTGATTTGCAGTGCAGGGCAAGACTCAGTGGGCAGTAACTTGTATAGATTGCATTTGCTTTGTGTATGATGCAGGTCTTGGTTACATTGATGCTTGAATGGTCATGAAGCATGGTTGGAGGAATTGGCCAATCATGGTTTTATCCTTTGTATTCTTTTGTAATGGTAACTTTGAAAATTGACAATGGTTTTTGTGGTGTAATTTTTCTTGTAGATCCTTTTGAATATGTACTTTGTAAACTTTGGATCTTAATGAAAAGTTTTCAAGCATTATTTCTCTTTTCCAATTGCATATTTTCCTTCAGAAAGTGATGATGAGATGATGTCTGCAATCTTCGAAGTGATCCAGTTGCCTTTGTTTTGATTTTGGAAGTGATGGCATTATGACATTTGAATTTGGACATTGTTGAATAAAGTTGACCTTGAGATGAATTTTTGTTGTATGATGAATGCATTTGGTTGAATGAAATAATGATGTATTCTATAAGTTCAAGTAACTTGTTTTTCAAGAAATCCACATGAATTTTCTAATCTTACACTCTTGAATTAACTCTTGATAAATCAACATTGATGCCATCGGGAACCCCTAAACCAAAACTTTGGATCATGCTAATTAATCACTTGGCGATATTGAATTCATAGCCCATTTAAATAAACATATCACTATGATGAATCCTCATCAACTTGCCTTCTTTATAATTTTAAATCCACACCAAGCTGTGAGTACTGGAAAGAATAATAATGCTTTGAGCGTAATGGATCTCTTGCCTCATATCTTGTGCCATGCCTTGACAAACCCCTTTCCTCAATAGATGATCTTAACTAATAAGGAATTCTTGAAGTTGGTGGTGATAAGACTTGAAGCAGAAAAGAACACCTTGACATAAAACCCAAAGACCTTCAATTGACAAATATGAACAAGCCTAATCATTTTACTTTCAATGCACATGGAATGAAGAAACATCTTGATATATTGAGAATAGTCAAAACACTAGCTCAAAGCAATATCAACTGGAAGCAACGATGAACCTTTAAGCACACACAAATGAAAATCCTAGTCCACTTGTCCTTAGGATGAATCTCTGATGAAAACTACCTTGCATCTTGAGGAATCTTGTCAGGGAAGATGTTCATGTTGTTTGTGATCCAAAACCCTAGTTTCATATCATGAGTGATAAATGAACCAATTGAACCATATCAAGAAAGATAACAACCTCAACCATAGAGAAAACCCCAATGCCAAGAGTCTTTCGATCCCATGTCTTAGGAACTCAAATGAATGAATGATTTATGATATGATGTTATGAATAAATAAATTAGGGGTAAAAAATGGGGTATAACACCCTTCGCCTGGTGGGGAATCGATATCCTTGGGTCGTTTAACACAGGGTTAAACCAGAACAAGTATCTGATAGTCGACGTTGACTATTTTACGAAGTGGATAGAAGCAGAGACCCTCACAAAAATCACGAAACACAATATAGTTTGTTTCTATAAAAAACATACTTCCCGATTCGACATACCGCAAGCACTCTTCATAGACAACGGGATGCAGTTCACCAACAAAAATTCTCAGTAATTCGTCGCCAAACTAGGCACCAAACAATATTTCACATCTGTCGAGCACCCACAAACAAACGGGCAGGCCGAAGCTGCAAACAGAGTGATCATATGCGGTCTAAACCGAAGATTAGGCGAGGAAAAAGGGAGATGGGTCGAGGATCTACACAACGTGTTATAGGACTACAAAACGACACCACACTCGACCACTGGGGAAACTCCATTCCGACTAACTTATAGGACCGAAGAGATAATCCCAATAGAGAATCGAGAACCCTCTAAGCGAACGAAATTCCCCATCGATAAGGAAATGAACAACGAGGCACTAAGAGAAGAGCTCGACCTTGTTGAAGAAGTTCGATCAGGGGCAGCCCTCTGTGAAGCCTCGTCAAAACATAAGATAGCCATACGACATGAAGCCAAAGTCATAAAACGAGAATTTGAAACTGGAAGCCTAGTCTTGAGAAGAAACCACAAAGATTCTCGCAAAGTAATACTCGCCGCGAACTGGGGGAGCCTATATTGCGTCCGAGCAAAAACAGAAAATGGGGTCTACTACCTCGAAAACTTGCACGGGGAAGAACTTGCTTGGCCATGAAATTCTAAGAAACTGAAACAATATTATAGTTAGGCATGACAGTCGATGTACCCTATTTCATGATGACGGGGTACGTCCCAACCACGAAGGCATGACGGGTACAAGCATAACATCCCAAACTTGAACAAAAAGGAAACTTTCTACTCTTTGATGAGAAGATTGACGACGAAACCTCAACTGAGCTCCGCCGTTGTTGTACCATGTTGGCAGAATACCAAGCCCGCAATGGGAGGTTCACGTTGCGGAGCTAAGGTCTTGATCGAGATCTTTTCTACCGCTATTAGATCAGAACCCATCTCCAGCCACTCGACGAGTTCCCTACACTGTTGAGCAACAACATTATCGAAGCAAGACCCCACAATACTTAGCGAAAATAATTCGAAAATGAACATCCGCTTACATGCAACTCAAATGGATGAGCATCCAGAAATCCTAAACGAGGAAAACATACACTTGGAAAATAAGACATACAAAATACAAACAGAGCTTAAAATACAAGCCACAAAGAGTGAAGGCAAACATGAGCGCGTTAACAAAAAAAGTGAGGTAAATATAAACGACCATAAAGATCGAAGGCTGTCATAATATTACAACAAAATCAGGCGTAGCCCATTATCCAAAAATTACAAATTGAGGCGCGTAGGCCCGAACAAATACAGACAAAAAAACATAGTCACTCCTCGTGATTGGGCTTCTCATCATTCAGCTCCCCCTTGGGGTGGAGCTCTTAGCCTTTTTCTTCCTCGTCAAAGGGAAAGCCGAGAGGAACGACTATTTGGCCGTCAACCACTTTATACAAGAACCCAGTCCCTTTAGTGACGAGCTTAAGTCTGGGATTCACGATCTTGAGCTGGGCCACTGCATTATCAAAGCTCATAGTAACAACCTCCACACAGTCATGCTCGAGGCTCTAAATTCGGGAAACCAGCTCAGCACGGGTCTTTAAGGCTTTTACCTCGTCAGCCTCGTCCTCGGCAGGCGCTGCAGCAGCTTCTAAGACAACAACCTTATCCTCGAGATTTTTCTTCTCAGTAGCATTAGTGATCTTCAAATCATTCAGGTGCACGGGTGAGCTTAGCCACCTTATCCTTCTTCTCGTGCAACTCGGTCAGAATCCCACTCTGGATCCGATACTTCTCCTTATAATCGTTGAAAGTAGTCTCCAATTTTACCCACAACTTCTCCAGCTCTCTAGCAGGGCGGGTCCCCTCGTCATTCAGGACCACAACCATTTCTAGGACCCTCATTAGAGTGGTTATATCTTTAGCCAATATTTTCCTCCTACCCGCCACGTCGAGCCCCTGGATGACCATAGACTCTGACCGGTGAACCACCAAAGAAGGGCCACCCTCAAAGAATCCCTTGTTGAGAAAGCAAGGGTGCAACATAAACTTGTCTTTGGGTGTGTCCTTTGTGAGATCTACATCCATGACTTCCTTCCTGCATGGCCTTTTCCTGCCTGGAGTGTCCTGCTGACGAGAAAGCTGATCACCTATCGAAGAAGAAGAAGAAGTTCCAAAGCCATCCTTTTGGGCTGGGTCAAGGCTTCGGCGAAACGAATCCTAGAGATTTTCTTTACAAGTTTCCCTCGGCTTGCTTCCATCTTGATCACGCGATCTTAAAGACTCGACGTATTAACTGCGACAAATGATGGGCACAAATTAACATAAAGAGGAAGAATAAGCAAAGAAAAACAAGTTAAAAGAAAAGCATCCACCTAAAAGAAAGAAAGCATCCTCCACAGTAGTGCACTCGAGGAGCTCCTTAGTATTAATATTTTAAGCCTCATAAATGGGTTGGCACTGATCATGAAAGACAACCTCCCCTCTCTTAGTCTCCCACAGAGCAGGAGCAAAGCTATCGACGAACTTCACGAGCTTGTTGTAACTATCTTGGTCTTTGAGGTCCAACTTGTTAGACTTGGTATAATAATCTGTACTCTGACCGAAGTGGTCATTACTCCAATGAAGATGGAACTTGGAGACCATCTGCGTCTCATCCTTCCCGTGCTCATCAAGATGCACACTCCCATCTTCCTCGATCACAACCTCCTACGCAAAACAAAACTGATGGCTGCTCGTGACACATGTTTGATTAGATAATACTTGTCCTTAAATGTATGAACAAAGTCTGTGAACGTCTTGAACAACTTCTTCGATTGCTTAAGGGAAACCCAGTTGTGTTTCCCATTCAATGTTTTTCGTTGAAGATGGAAGCAACATAAGAACATCAGAATCATAGTGCCGATTTCCAGATACTAGCACACAATCTTGAAGGTCCAAATGAATTTGATCGAGTTCAGGTGCAACTGGGAAAGCGCCAACTCCAAATGGATGAAAATGACACCTAAAATTACTGAACGGAATCCAAAGACCTAAATCTTTGGATACATACTCGTACATGGAGAAACAGTTCTTCTAGAAGGGCGAGCATATTCGTTCATTCGGGTCAGGTTTATAAACCTCCCAATTCTCCTTGAACCCCGGTTAGCCCACGTCTCTTTTCGACGATTGCAAACGCATCCTCTGGGGAGTCAGTGAAACATGAGGCTATCCCTCGGGGTTCTAGCCCGATCAGGAGAAGTGGTCGTGTCGACCAGACAAATGCCCTCGGCACTACGAGCCGTTAAAACTTGAAAAGTATAGGACAATAGTAAATTCGACAGTCAAATCAAATTTACCCTTCCACTGCAAATCAAGTGAAAGGGCATACAAAGGCAAGAGGACGCTGCCCGCGACCAAAGCCCTTATTCAACAACAACAAAGTCGCAACGACATTCTCCTCAATTGAGGGCTCAACTGGCCCACTAGAAAAACCATGGGGAAAATTCCCCCTAGAAATTTTAGCAAACGAGCTTCACGGGAAAGAGCCTCCCTGACACATGAGTTTCATCATAAACTCATGAATTTCAC